CACTCCCCAGGGGGGATGGCCACGCCGCAATCCCTTCTCCTCCATTCTCCTCTCAGAATCTTGGGCACACATGCACACGTCCCCGGCGTGAGTTCCAAGCCACCGGGTTCGGGATGCGAACCGCAGTCGACTACGTGGGAGTCCAGCAACATAGCCATTATGCTAACTGCTGGTTCCCGCTTTCCCCTTTTTGTGTTTAAACACAAACGTGCTCTCCGTGTGCCCCGGCCCCGTGAGGTTCTAGCCCGACAGAATCAGTGGAGTTGGCTTCTGGCCGCACAGCGGACCTGACCGCATGTGGGCCCTGTGGGACTTGGTGGGGTGAGGTCCGGGCTGAGCTGACACAGAAGCTGGCTCCCTTGTGGCCCACCTTGTCCTGCCTCTCAGGGTGGCCATGCCAGGTCAGTAGGACCCCTGCATCCCGGCCTGCCTCCCACCACCCGGACACCAGCCTGTTTCTCCTTGCCAGGAACCACAGCTCCAGCTGGAAAGTTCTGTGGCAGAGAACGCCATGGACCACTGGGGGCTCCCCACCGTCTGGGCTCCCTGTGGTGGGGTGGTGGCGCCCCCACTCTAGCAGTGGCCCATGGGAGGCAAACCCGCCTCTCAGACCTTTCCCCACTGGTGCTGACCGGGGCCTCCCAGCGCCTGGCCTGGGCAGGAGACAGGCTGGCCCTTGTGGGCCCCTTGGGAGATTGTGTTGCTCGGCCCTGCCCAGTGAATGAGGCGGTCGTGCTGCCCTCCTGGTCAGAGCCTCTGCGGGCACTCACCGCGATGAGCTGGACGCAGTGGTCGGCGGAGGTGCCCGGGATGCAGCCGAGGGCGGGCTGGATGCCGGCTTCCTGGAAGGCCTTGCTCATGTCGCCGCACTTCTGCTGCTCGGGGTCCGAGGTGGTGCACCACCGCACCTCCATGCCACCAAGCGCTGGGGGCAGCCAGCAGTGAGGCCCCTCGCCCAGGCCAGCCGCCCCAAGGGGGCTTCTGCAGCAATGCTTGCCCTTAACCTGGATGGCCAGGCCTCAGCCACAGCCTGCCCTCCGAGGGAAGGCTCGGGACTGGGAAGGGGGCTGGCGCTGGGAGCCGTGCCCAGGGCTCAGGAGCACCCTGCACTCCCGTGTCAGAGGAGCAGGAAGCGGCGTGCACCTGCCCGACCGCCCGCCCCTCCCCACCTGCCTGGGGAGTCCCTGCAGGCTGGGCCACTGGGCAGGGTTCTGCCCCTCCCCACGCCTCTGAAAATGGGGTGCTGGCCTGGGTTCCCTCTCTCAGCAGGCTCCTGGGCCCTCCCTAGGTCTGGCGGGAGCTGGGATGAGATGGCGAAGGGCTGCCTATGGAGCCTTGCACCTCGGGGCGCTGCAACTGCGCCAGCCGCAAACCCTGGGAGGGCACGTGCTAGGCTCCTGCCACAGAAGGTGGCACACAGAGGGTGGCTGAGGACCAGGAGGCTGGGCCAGGGTTTTGTCCCTCTGGCTGGTGCCTTCAGGCAGCCTACTTGACCCGGTGGAGCCTGCCTGGTCCCTGAGAGAGCAGGTGACACCCACATCCGTGCAGCTCGTGGCCGAGAGAGCGCCCACACCGGTCCTCGGTGGGTTCTCTGAGGCCCCATGCTGGCCCAGGGCAGAGGGCACAGGCTCCAGGCTGGGGCCCAGTGGAAGGGGAGGAGGGTGGCCACTTGGCAGACCTGAGCCCTCACCACACCCTGTGCTCCAGAGAAACGCATGGCTTCGGTCCAGTTACCTCCCTGAGATCAGGCGCTCCCAGGGCACCCTGCATGCCCCATACCCACCCCAAGGGTCAAGACTGCAGCTGTCACGCACCCCCTCAGGCGGCACCCTGAAAAGTCAGACCGCTCTCCTCCCCCCAGTGCCGGCCACCACCGGGGCCCAGGGCTGGTGGGGCCCTTTCCGAGGGATGACCAGGGCAGTGGCGGACCACAGTCGTTCCGCCTTGCCTGCACCCCCACCGCCAGCCCCAGCCTCTTCCTCTTCGTGGGGCCCCGCCTCTGGCCGGCTGTGCCAGGGCCGACTCTCCCGGGCACAGCCACGGAGACCCCGCCTTCAGCCCTGCATCTCACGCGCCCTGACTGGGAGTAAAGGAGCTGCTCTGGCCCCCAAACCCAGAGCAGCGACTCTCCGGGACCTCCTTGCAACAGTCCAAGGCTCACCACCATGCCCTGCCCGAGTCTCTTGGCACATCCGAAGCTTTGCTCTTTCAAGGCTCAGACCAAGACCGCCTCCTTCAAGAAGCTCTCCAGGCTTCTCGGTCGGCCAGCCAGTGCTAGTTCCCTGTGGCGTCCTCACCCGCCCCCGCCCCGGG